AAGTGGAAACTGGCGTAGTGGAAATCTTTTAACATTCTTTCATCAAATGAATCACATTTTCTTTTATAGGCTTAAATGCATAGATTTCTGCAAACCTACTGCACTGGTCGCTTTTGCCCAGCGGTAAGAGTAGCCACTCTCATTGCTGAGGTCCAGCTAACAAATCCTGGAGATTAACATTAAAGAATTTTGATCTTTGTGTTTTGGGCACATTGCCAGATTCCATATTTGCTTTCAAAGTAAAGGTTTAAAAGAAATAGGCTATTGATGGAAACACACACACACACACACAAACACACACACAGTAAGAAAGACAGAGTTAGGAATAAGTTTGTTTTCTGCTTATCCTTATTGTTGCTTCTACTAAAACTAGTGCCTCCCTTCCTTTGTCTTTCATGTGAGGTCTAGTCTGGACACTGGTGGAGTATAGTCTGGACCAGGTGATAGTGTAGTTTAGACTGGTGAGAGTGTAGTGTAGACCTGGTGAGTGTAGTGTGGACCTGGTGAGTGTAGTGTGGACCTGGTGATAGTGTTAGCACAGGAGTATGGAGGAGTGGTGAAAGAGTGTGGAGATATGGTGGAGGAGTGGTGACGGGGTGGTGGAGGAGTGTGGAGAGGTTGTGGAGTGTGGAGAGGTGGTGGATAACTGTGGAGGGGTTAGTGGAGCATTGGAATCTTGTCCAGTTCTAATGCTATATTTATGTTGTTGTCGAGGGGTGGTCGGGAGGAGTGTGGAGGAGTGGTGGAGGAGTGTGAAGAGTGGTGGAGGAGTGTGGCTAGAAGGTGGAGGAGTGTGGAAAGGTGGTGGATTAGAGTGGAGTGATGGTGGAGGAGTGTAGAGGAGTGTTGAAGGAGTGTGCAGGGGAGGTGCATGAGTGTGCAGGGTGGTGGATTCCATTTCCTGCACTGTACATCAAGCATCACTACACTACACATTTACTTTAAAAAAATGTACATCTTCCATGTGATGTTGACCAGTTCAGTGTTCGGCAAGACACTGTTCAACACATCGAAATATTGCAACACAACAAAGCTGATAACATCAACAAGTTGATTTTTGAAGAGGTGAGTAAACCACTGTTTAAGAAAGCTATAAAGCTTTCGGAAAACAAAATATTGGCGACAGTGGGAACATCCTGCATTAAAACTCACATTACCCTAATTATATAGGTTAATAGAACTTAGAACTCGCCAAATTAAAGCTGTACCATTTTTGGTATATGATTCTTAAAAAACACACACGAGGACAGAATAAAACTAACTTGTTCTGATACCGACAGCCTAATAATTTCTCTTTATAATATTCAAAATATTTATGATGAAATCGGGAAGGAACCGCTGAGGAAATGGACAGACACAACTAACTTCCCCACAGACTCAAGGAAGGGATCTCTAGGGTTGCTTAAAAGCCAGGTGGGGGACCGTCTTATTTCAGAAATAGTTTGCATTAAACTCAAAATGTATGGCATATTTCTGGTGATAATGATAACCACTATAGCAGCGAAGTTATACCTCATTCTGAGCAACAATTATTAACTCACAATAACTTTAAAAGAGTACACGAAGACGGTTCTATACATACCTTCCAATATAGTCAGATTAGAAATATGAGAGGCAAAATGAGTACTATCACTACTAGAAAACGAGGTGTTAGCTCTTTCGATGACAAGCGAACATTCAATGTACAATATATCTCTGCAACATAGTGCACCACAACATTCAGTGTGATGTGGGTACCACTCACCTGTCTGCCCTTGTCAGCCCCATTCCAGAGCTGGTTGAAGCACGGTCTGCTCTCTAGTGGCTTCTATTTTGACTTTCTTACCGTGGAGTGCACTAATACCTATTGTTGTAATCTGAGGGGACACAGATTGACTCCTGGACACATGGACCTGGGAAAGGAGATTCTGGTTGCTCAGGCAGACCTTCTTTCACCAGGTGTGGGCTGCATACTCCAAAATGGGCATGACATACAAGGTGTACATTGTGTGTGTGTGTGTGTGTGTTGTGTTTGTGTACTCACCTATTTGTACTCACCTATTTGTGGTTGCAGGGGTCGATTCATAGCTCCTGGCCCCGCCTTTTCACTAATTGCTACTAGGTCCTCTCTCTCCCTGCTCCATGAGCTTTATCATACCTCGCCTTAAAAACTATGTATGGTTCCCGCCTCCACTACTTCATTTTTTTAGGCTATTCCACGGCTACTGTCAGGGAGGCTGGAGTGGGAATAACACCACAGTGACTATTGTCAGGGAGGCAGGATTGGGAATAGAGTCCACCTGAGGTGACACCAAGTGGACTCCTGGAGACACTGATTCGGGAAGGCACTGACCTAACTCGCTATACCTTAGGTAAGTGGGGAGAGAAGACACACACACACACACACACACACACAAACAGTGGTCATGAAATGTATCTCGATTTTCAAAACTTTTTATCAGAATTACTGATGGAATTGAATTTTATGCTGAAAGTAACTTAAATATGACATTTTTGTGTAATGTTGTGTCAATACATACTTCAAGTGTGAAAATTGATGTATTTTAGCTAAAAAGTAAGATTTGTCTGAAAAGTGTTCTAAATGCGCCAAATCTTCGAAATTGTGCATTTAAAACATCATTTTTACCATATTTTTCGATGTTTTCAATGCTTCAGGTATTTTTAAAAAATATATACTAATGGAATTGATATTTCGTGCATTTTTCAACATTTGAAAGCATATTACATATTTTTCAAAAAACCCATAAAATTTCGAAGAAATTCAAAATGACACCATTTGAAACATTACATACATACATACATACATGCAGAGAGAGCATGGTGCATATACTCACTGTGTATAAGTCACACACACACACACAAAACAAAACACACACACACACACACACAGTGGTTGCTTGTAATCACTAATACACACACACACACACACACCCCACACACACACACACACACACACACACACACACGCAACACACCCCACACAGGTCCATCTACACACCACACGCACATATGTACTCAAATTTGTATCCATTTATATATGCAGTCTCCCTCACGGTTGTAAAAATTATGTTTGTGTCTTCAAAATAAAGTCGAGAAGTTGTGTGGTAGAAAAAATCACACTTCCTCAAGTGAGGAAGGGGAGACCTCCGGGGACCCACGGATGGATTCCTGGACACGTGAACCTGGGGAAGGCGAGGGGGGAGGTGGACCTTAAGAGTAACTCTGGTCAGATAACTGACAGTGATAAGGATATGTGTGAAAAATTTTATATATATATATATATATATATATATATTTATATATATATATATATATATATTATATATATATATATATATATATATATATATATATATAAAATCTACCTGGGAGGAAGGTAGATCATCACATGCAGCTTTCTCCACCTGACCCAGCATTCTGAACCTGACTATAAATACTCTCGTACCTTCCACCCAGGTAGATCTGTTTGTGACTTGAAAAAGCCCACTGTGTGGGCGAAAACGTTGTCATCCAGGCTGACAGCAGGTCAGCCAGGCTGACAGCAGAGTCAGCCAGGCTGACAGCAGAGTCAGCCAGGCTGACAGCAGAGTCAGCCAGGCTGACAGCTGTACCACGGAAACTGTGCTCTTTTTTACAGTAAATTATTATTTAGTTCATACAAATTTTTCTACTGATGTTTACTTTTCACTCTCATCTACACATACACAATATACAACATGTACACATGGTACACATACACACAACATGTACACATGGTACACATACACACAACATGTACACATGGTACACATACACAATAACACGTGTATTAATGTATAAAATAATGACACGTACACATGACATCATCAACTCACAACATGTTTCACATGACAATCAACACACAACATGTACACATGGTACACATACACAATAACACGTGTATTAATGTATACATAATGACACGTACACATGACAATCATCAACTCACAACATGTACACATGGCACACATACACAATTTCGTGTATTTAATTTGTACATAACTTTTTACATGACAATCATCAACACACAACATGTACACATGACAATCATCAACACACATGTACATATGGCACACACACACAATAGCACGTGTATTAATGTGTACATAACACGTACACATGTCGATCAACATACATCATGTACCCATGATAATCATCAACTTACAACATGTACACATGACAATCATCAACACACAACATGTACACATGACAATCATCAACACAACATGTACACATGACAATCATCAACACAACATGTACACATGACAATCATCAACACAACATGTACACATGACAATCATCAACACAACATGTACACATGACAATCATCAACACAACACATACATATGATAATCATCAACACACAACATGTACACATGACAATCATCAACACAACATGTACACATGACAATCATCAACACAACATGTACACATGACAATCATCAACACAACATGTACACATGACAATCATCAACACACAACATATACATATGATAATCATCAACACACAACATGTACACATGACAATCATCAACACACATGTACATATGGCACACATACACAACACGTGTATTTAATGTGTACATAATAACATGTACACATGACACACAGTCCTCCACTAGTGCCTCAGTCGTGTCACATCTTTAAATATTCACAAGTTACACAAACAATGTTCTCAAATTACTGTAAACCAACATTTTTTTTGTCTTATATATTCTGAATATTGAAGCAAATACATATATCTAAATTTCCCATATATTGTCTCTGCTACATTGTTTAATCATGTGGACGAGTACATGTATGTCTATGAGAATGTGTACACATGTATGTGTACATAAGTGTTCGTGGGATGGGCTTTGGAGTGATATATTTGTGTGCGTGTATATGTGATCTCAGACATATTATAGTGATAGCAGATAACTGTGTACATTGTTGTGTGCGTATTTGTAGTACATGGGATTGTGTGTGATTTTTTTATGCATGCAAGTGTATGTATAATGATGTATGAGTAAGGTGAATGTGTTTAAACGTATAAATATTTGTGAAAATACTTATATATGTGTATGCAAACAATTTCTGTGCTTGTTAGGCTTTCAATGCCAAATGAAAACACGGATAAATAAACAAAAATGAAAGCAGTGTAATATTTAACATAGTTATGATGGTGGTGGACAAATTAACCAACATTTGGGTATTCATCTGCAATAATAAAACACTCACAAATACTTTTAAACAGCTAAATAAGTAAAAATACAACTTGTTCTCAGTATATTTTCATAGTGTAACATAAAAGGATTTCCAAAATTTACGTTAATTAGCCTCTCGGAGGTGGCGGAACTGTGAGGCAGCTTGGTGGCGTCTAGCTGACCTACGGTCCAGGCTGTCTTGGTGGGTGTAATTACTGGACGCAGTTTTCTGTGTGTGTCACCTCCAGTAATTCCACCCACCTGGACAGTCTCTACCGTAGACCAGCTAGACAAGACCGAGTTTCCAAGCAGCGAGGTCACTGAAGGTGGCAACCGCTGACACTGGGGAAGTGGGGAAGGGAGTCCACCTGAGGTGACACTAGTGGACTCCTGGAGACACTGATCCGGGGAAGGCACCGCTGACTCTGGGGAAGTGGGGAAGGGAGTCCACCTGAGGTGACACTAGTGGACTCCTGGAGACACTGATCCGGGGAAGGCACCGCTGACTCTGGGGAAGTGGGGAAGGGAGTCCACCTGAGGTGACACTAGTGGACTCCTGGAGACACTGATCCGGGGAAGGCACCGCTGACTCTGGGGAAGTGGGGAAGGGAGTCCACCTGAGGTGACACTAGTGGACTCCTGGACACATTGATCCGGGGAAAGCACCGCTGACTCTGGGGAAGTGGGGGAGTCCACTCAGGTGACACAAGTGGACTCCTGGAGACACTGATCCGGGGAAGGCACCGCCGACCTTAGGGAAATGGGGAAGGGAAGACATCCGGAGCGAGCGGATGGATTCCTGGATACATGAACTTGAGGAAGGTTGTTGTTGAGGCTGACCTTGGGTAAGTGGGGAAGGGGAGACATCCGGAGCGAGCGGATGGATTCCTGGATACATGAACCTGAGCAAGGCAAGAATACATGCAGTTGAGGCTGACCTTGGGTAAGTGGGGAAGGGGAGACATCCGGAGCGAGCGGATGGATTCCTGGATACATGAACCTGAGCAAGGCAAGAATACATGCAGTTGAGGCTGACCTTGGGTAAGTGGGGAAGGGGAGACATCCGGAGCGAGCGGATGGATTCCTGGATACATGAACCTGAGCAAGGCAAGAATACATGCAGTTGAGGCTGACCTTGGGTAAGTGGGGAAGGGAAGATATCCGGCGGTAAACGGAAGGATTCCTGGATACATGATCCTGCGGACGGCAAGAATACCGCTGACCTTGGGGAAGTGGGGAAGGGAGTCCACCTGAGGTGACATAAGTGGACTCCTGGAGACACTGATCCGGGGAAGGCACCGCTGACTCTGGGGAAGTGGGGAAGGGAGTCCACTCAGGTGACATAAGTGGACTCCTGGAGACACTGATCCGGGGAAGGCACCGCCGACCTTAGGGAAATGGGGAAGGGAAGACATCCGGAGCGAGCGGATGGATTCCTGGATACATGAACTTGAGTAAGGTTGTTGTTGAGGCTGACCTTGGGTAAGTGGGGAAGGGGAGACATCCGGAGCGAGCGGATGGATTCCTGGATACATGAACCTGAGCAAGGCAAGAATACATGCAGTTGAGGCTGACCTTGGGTAAGTGGGGAAGGGAAGATATCCGGCGGTAGACGGAAGGATTCCTGGATACATGATCCTGCGGACGGCAAGAATACCGCTGACCTTGGGGAAGTGGGGAAGGGAGTTCACCTGAGGTGACATAAGTGGATTCCTGGAGACACTGATCCGGGGAAGGCACCGCCGACCTTAGGGAAATGGGGAAGGGAAGACATCCGGGAGCGAACGGATGGATTCCTGGATACATGAACTTGAGGAAGGTTGTCGTTGAGGCTGACCTTGGGTAAGTGGGGAAGGGGAGACATCTGGGAGCGAACTGATGGATCCCTGGATACATGAACCTTGGCAAGGCAAGAATACATGCAGTTGAGGCTGACCTTGGGCAAGTGGGGAAGGGAAGATATCCGGCGGTAGACGGAAGGATTCCTGGATACATGAACCTTGGGACAGCAAGAAAACAGGTTGGTGAGGCTGACCTTAGGGAAGTGAGGAAGGGAAAACATCCGGAGGCAGACAGATGGATTCCTGGATACATGAACCTGGGGAAGGCTGAGGCTGGAAGGCAGAGAGAGAGAAAGAGAGGCGAGGCTGACCTTAGGGAAATGAGGAAGGGGAGACATCCGGGGGCCCACGGATGAATTCCTGGACACATGAACCTGGGGAAGGCGAGGGGGGGGGGACCTTAAAGACGAACCACTGGCCTCCACGTGGCAAGGTCTGGTAACTCAGAGATAACTCTGAGGCTGACAGTGGTCGCAAATATATTATAATTCACTATAATATATTATTATTATGTTATTATTATTATATTATTATTATTATGTTATTATTGTTATTATTATGTTATTATTATAAATTATTATTGTTATTATTCATGATTTGGATTCAAAAGCGTCAACCAGCCTCCCTGACAGTAGCATCGGTGATGTTATTCCCACTCCAGCCTCCCTGACAGTAGCATCGGTGATGTTATTCCCACTCCAGCCTCCCTGACAGTAGCATCGGTGATGTTATTCCCACTCCAGCCTCCCTGACAGTAGCATCGGTGATGTTATTCCCACTCCAGCCTCCTTGACAGTAGCATCGGTGATGTTATTCCCACTCCAGCCTCCCTGACAGTAGCATCGGTGATGTTATTCCCACTCCAGCCTCCCTGACAGTAGCATCGGTGATGTTATTCCCACTCCAGCCTCCCTGACAGTAGCATCGGTGGTGTTATTCCCACTCCAGCCTCCCTGACAGTAGCATTCGGTGATGTTATTCCCACTCCAGCCTCCCTGACAGTAGCATTGGTGGTGTTATTCCCACTCCAGCCTCCCTGACAGTAGCATCGGTGATGTTATTCCCACTCCAGCCTCCCTGACAGTAGCGTCGGTGATGTTATTCCCACTCCAGCCTCCCTGACAGTAGCATTGGTGGTGTTATTCCCACTCCAGCCTCCCTGACAGTAGCATCGGTGATGTTATTCCCACTCCAGCCTCCCTGACAGTAGCATCGGTGGTGTTATTCCCACTCCAGCCTCCATGACAGTAGCATTGGTGGTGTTATTCCCACTCCAGCCTCCCTGACAGTAGCATTGGTGGTGTTATTCCCACTCCAGCCTCCCTGACAGTAGCATCGGTGGTGTTATTCCCACTCCAGCCTCCCTGATAGTAGCATTGGTGGTGTTATTCCCACTCCAGCCTCCCTGACAGTAGCATCGGTAGTGTTATTCCCACTCCAGCCTCCTTGACAGCATCGGTGGTGTTATTCCCACTCCAGCCTCCCTGACAGTAGCATTGGTGGTGTTATTCCCACTCCAGCCTCCCTGACAGTAGCATCGGTGGTGTTATTCCCACTCCAGCATCCCTGACAGTAGCATCGGTGGTGTTATTCCCACTCCAGCCTCCCTGACAGTAGCATTGGTGGTGTTATTCCCACTCCAGCCTCCATGACAGTAGCATCGGTGGTGTTATTCCCACTCCAGCCTCCCTGACAGTAGCATCGGTGTTGTTATTCCCTCTCCAGCCTCCCTGACAGTAGCATCGGTGGCGTTATTCCCACTCCAGCCTCCCTGACAGTAACCAGTGTGGTGTTATTCCCACTCCAGCCTCCCTGACAGTAGCCGTGGTGGTGTTATTCCCACTCCATCCTCCCTGACAGTAGCCATGGTGGTGTTATTCCCACTCCAGCCTCCCTGACAGTAACCATTGTGGTGTTATTCCCACTCCAGCCTCCATAACAGTAGCATCGGTGGTGTTATTCCCACTCCAGCCTCCCTAACAGTAGCATCGGTGGTGTTATTCCCACTCCAGCCTCCCTAACAGTAGCATCGGTGGTGTTATTCCCACTCCAGCCTCCCTAACAGTAGCATCGGTGGTGTTATTCCTACTCCAGCCTCCCTGACAGTAGCCATGGTGGTGTTATTCCCACTCCAGCCTCCCTGACAGTAACCATGGTGGTGTTATTCCCACTCCAGCCTCCCTGACAGTAGCCATGGTGGTGTTATTCCCACTCCAGCCTCCCTGACAATAGCATCGGTGGTGTTATTCCTACTCCAGCCTCCCTGACAGTAGCCATGGTGGGGTTATTCCCACTCCAGCCTCCCTGACAGTAACCATGATGGTGTTATTCCCACTCCAGCCTCCCTGACAGTAACCATGGTGGTGTTATTCCCACTCCAGCCTCCCTGACAGTAACCATGGTGGTGTTATTCCCACTCCAGCCTCCCTGACAGTAACCATGGTGGGGTTATTCCTACTCGGGAATAACACGTCAGTGGCATCTCGCTGGTGCCACCCACGTTATCATAATATGAAAAAAATCCCCAAAAAGGAAATACTTTCATCATCATTCAACACTTTCACCTCACTCACACATAATCACTGTCTTTGCAGAGGCGCTCAGACACAAACAGTTTAGAAGCATATATGAAGTAATATTAGATACTCTTCCAAACATGCCAATATCCCAATATCCGAATGGGTGAAACTGGTCTGTTAACAAGACCTCATGTAAAATTGAGTCCTTTCTTATATTTTCTCTGTGCGTTTAAAGATATATTTTTTTTCATTTATGTTAATGTAAAAACTAATAACTTTGATCTAAAAGAACCTTAGAAAACTTACCTAACCTTTAATTTAATTTAATTTGATTTAGCCTAATTTAACTAAAAATGTTTTAGATAACTTTACAATAATTTAATAATAAACAAACACAATGAAATACATTTTTTTCCTTTAGGTTCAGAATGATTTTTGCGAAATTATGGCATACACAAACTTTCACTTGTGTATGTGTTAGTATGCTGTTATTGGAAGTTACTGTACTTTTCTTTTGTTACCTATTACAACCCAGGAGTCCCAAAGGCCTGTTATCCTGTGTGTAAAGGGAGCGAAATAAACACAACAGAAAAGCTTTTGACTTGCATTATCCTTCGCCAGTTTAGAACAGAAGTATGTACACTATATACACTATGTACAACAATAGGTATTAGTGCACTCCACGGTAAGTAAGTCAAAATAGAAGCCACTAGAGAGCAGACCGTGCTTCAACCAGCTCTGGAATGGGGCTGACAAGGGCAGACAGGTGAGTGGTACCCACATCACCTCTGCGATTGCCAAAACCATCTTCTCATCGGCTGGAACCTGGGTACTGATTGAACGACGGGGCCCCATCGTCAACATTTAGTACCTGGTTCGCTGGTTGGGGGAGATAGCCCTTAAGTGAGGGTGTGTACATGCGACGAATAAAGGTTACGTGCTCTTTGCATGCCACATTACTGTACTTGTAAGTTATTCAGCTGTTGTTGCGTGTTGTTGCTCCGTTTTTGCGTAATACTTTGTCGCTCTTTCACGGTGACGTGCTTGCTGTGTTGACTTATCTGTTACAAGCAAATTTAGGAAATTTGCTTAGTATATCTGGTATCTTATTTTCATTAATAAGATATCTTGACATGTCACATAGGTTATTATACTGTCTGTCTCTGTATTCCTCAATAAGTGGACAATTAAGCACATAGTGTTCAATAGAGTGACCATATGCCTGATCACATAATTTACATTTAGTTTGATCATCATCTGTGTGTCTCCCAAACTGCCAGAAGTACTTGTAACCAAGCCTAAGCCTGGCCACTACAACATCAGTCAGTCTGTTCATATTGCAAGTTGCTCCATAAACATACTTATCTACGTTCATGTTATCATAGTGGGTTATAGATCTACTCAGGCTTCTAACTCCATTCCTATAACAATCATTTTCATTAACTTCTCTAATATTATTCCTAATGCTAGACACAGTTATACCAAAGTTATATTCTACATTCTCCTTCTGGATACTCTTCTTGGCTAACATATCAACTTTATCATGAAGGAGTAATCCAATGATGGGATCCATAGCAATTGTACATTAATTCCTTTGTCCCTAATTTTTGAGTATCTATACCTGGCTTCCCCAATGAGCATGTTGTTGGAGTCATTATATGAGCCAAGAGCCTTCAATGATGACATAGAATCAGTAATGGTGATAGAGTCAAGCTCAGTGTCATAGGTTAGCTTTAGCGCATTAGGATTGCAAACAATTCAGTTTGCAGTGTAGACGCCCAGTTGTTAATTCTTATGCCTAACTCAACAATTTATTATCGTTCTTAACTAGGGAGGTGGCAACAAGAGCAGATGCAGCCCTGCCAGAAGACTCCTGTTTAGATCCATCAGTGTATATAACTTGTGATAACTTGTTACTACCAGCTAGGTGAGAAATTTCTTCTTGAGCAGTTGCTCTAGCAAGAGATTTAAGGAAGGGATTACTAGCAATGAGCTTCTTGGGAGGGACTTGTAGGTATGTGATATTAAATGAACACATCTTCCATGGAGGGGTGAAATGCTCTTGTTGCCTACAGTGATACAGTTCATGCAGGTTATAAAACTTAATGCAATTGCACGTTTTCACAATCCATTTAGATCTGTGTGTATTTACCTCTAGACACTTGGTAAGATTCACTGTGACAGTGTCTGGTTCGTTTCTCAACATTCTAATACCGAGTACAGTGTTAATTTCAACAATCCTATCACTGATACTAGAATACCAAGCTCCTTCCTCATGTTAAGAACTTTTGTAGATCTGGGACAGCCAAGAATAATCCTGAGAGCTTCATTTTGCATTAACTCCAAGGGTCGGAGAGAACTTTCTCTAGCTAATATCAACATGGGAGCAGCATAATCAATTAAGGACCTAACATAGGCTATGTACATCATTCTCACGATTCTCACATTAGCACCATAGTTGGGATTGTAGCCAGCAACAGCTTTGAGAGCATTTTAGCCTAGCTTTACATTTCTTGTTTAGTTGTGGTATAAAGGATTTGTTAAAGGGACATTAACCAAGATATCTGTAAGTTTTAAGAGCTAATGATTTCACCCTGCAATGTGGGGGGGGATGTCGTTTGCTTTTTATATCTTGTTTTAGAGGAAGATTTATGAGGCTAGTCGATTTCAAATTGCTTGAACTTATTAAGAATGGGTTTTCATTTCTTATGCCCCGTTGTTGGATCATGATATCATCAGCTAGTTATGCTTATGTTTAGGTGAGGCAAAGGTTTTGAGCTTTAGGAGAGTATTAAACAGAATATTTAAATAGCATGGGGGTAAGAAATCCTCCCTGCGGTGTACCTAAAGACATTTCTTTGAATCACTTTGAAACCTTGGGAAAGGACAGAGGTTCTCTATTTGGGCAGGTATCCAATTACCCGCAGAGTAAGCTACCCCAATTTTCATTTTTTGGTGTTCAT